CCCCCCCCCCCCCCCAATGCCTTGACTTATATATATATATATATATATATATATATATATATATATATATATATATATATATATATATATATATATATATATATATATATATGATCTATAAACAGTTTAAAAATCATAAATTGTTGGTTAACTTTACAGCTTTATGGTAATGCTTTTCGTCTTTTCTTGGAGAATGAGTGAAATCAGAGCGCTGTTCATGTGTTTGTGGTAAACGCAATTACCTGCTCTCTCTGTCTCATCAGCCTCTTGTATGAACTGTATGGCCCCGTGCATGACTACTGTTAATTTATGCACAGCTAGCTAAGGTTTTATATAATTTCAACAGGTGTAGGTGTATGAAAGAAGTAGCAAATAAAGGGTTTTGCTTTTAAACTTTTAGATTGTCATGTTCATGAAGTTACGGTTCATCTCTTGAATGTTTACAAGAATCCAGTATATGGCGTGGGGCAGGGTGGGGGTGGAAAAGCAGCACATATATAGCTTTTTCAGTCTCAATCAAGTAACAAGAGACATGGTTGGTGGTGATCCTCATGCCTTTCACTCCCCTTGCATCTATAAATTTTGGCATGCTGGATGAGTTTTCCATAATCTCTAATCAGACAATTGGAAATATGTAATTACTTCCATCAACAATATGTAGGGATTATTTTTATCAGCATTAGGTTTTATAGTTTCAACTGAACCGTGGTCTCCTAGTATTTTGAAAATTATTTTAATGCTTTATCTCCTTCATGAAGTTTTGCAGTTTTAGACTAGAGTCTTATTTAGTTATGAATGTAATGGACTTGGAAGAGAGGTTAGGGTTAGAGTACCTTGTTTGTTGTTTATACCTTAGGACGTGTAATCTGGTTTAATTGACCCCTTTTAAACATTAAGTGCAATTGTGTGCAGTGGATTTTATGGTTAAATGCTTGTTAGGAGAATAGATAACCTAAATTGATACGTAAGATTAGGGTTAAAGCGACCCATAATGTAGTTGTTGTATGGTGAAGGATTCTTGATATGTATGACACAAAATGGTTTTGTCATTGTTTATGTTCAAACTAAATGGTAATATGTGGATTTTTTTTTCTAATATAGTCACTTTTCATCAGCACTTAAATTGTAGAATATTTATTTTTGTTGTCATAGGTAAAGAAGTGGTAACTATCATTAAAGGTATCAAGAAAAATTTACAATTGATGATAGGTACAAGGAGTCAGCTTAATCAGAGCTGCCAACCAAAGACTTCCCTGCTCGCCCCCCCACCCCCCTCCCCCAAAGGAAAAAAATAATACAAAAGGAAAAAAAAAACATCTATTCACATCTTGTTGAAGAGTAATGAGACTTCTCTTGGACTTAATTGGTACTTGTAATGAAAGTGTCAAGAAAAAGAGGAAAAATGCTGATGATGGCCTGAAGATAAAATATAAACGCTGCAGAAAAAACTGGCAAGTTTTCCTTAATGGTATATCTCCAGGTAAAATCTTGCTCAAGAGAAAACAAAAAGCACGTCCAGCATCTGCTTCCAATTTGGCCGATATTAAAAGCAACAGAATTTTTTTTTAATGTTCCCATGTACCACCTGTAAATATTCAGTACCAGTGAAGAGCATCTGGCAATGCAACCTCTTACTGATGTGTTTCCACCTGACATATATAACACAACTACTTGGAAAAGCAACTATCTGGAATAGAGTTAACAAGGATATTTTCAAGGAAAAAAACACTGAAGCATTCTCAGTCATGCTATATGCACGTGAAGACTGTAGTTCAACAAGACAGTGGTCTCATATCTTTTACAGTAATTGATTGCTGTTTGACCCAAGATTTATCATTGTCATTGTTTCTCTGGGTACATGGTGCATCATATCATGCACTTCGTATTAACCTTATTCAGAAGACCCTCTTCAAACAGTCATTTACCAAGTGATGTATTAGCCAACATAGCCGAAGCATTTGCAGTAAATGATGCCAGATAGTTGACATTTTCATAATAACTTGGAAACACATTTTAAAGTATGTCTTAGCTGGTAATAAAAGACTTATGTTGTTTCTAATGTTGGGTCTTCAAATGCTGCCTCTATATATAGTTGTTCTGCTGCTGTTATGGCTTTGAGAAAATAGATCATTATTTTGAGTCTGTGGACTATGACACACATGGTGGTCAGTTGGTGAATATTTGATTTTTACATCAAATTTCTGTGTGATGAATTCCATTGCCCAAGTTGTTGTTGTTATTGTTGTTGTTATTTTTTCAAAAAAATCGTGATATTTTTGTCTGCGGTTTCTCATCCTGGAAGTGCCTGCCTGGTTTATCATATTTCCACCACCTTTACATCTGGATATAGTATATCAATGCCATGCTACCTGTGATGATAAGATATATCTTATATATAAAATCAGCAAGCCTTTCCTCCACTTCTCTTCACAACCCCATCCCCACCCTCCTCCACCAAACCCAACCTCCGGCACCAGCCCATCAGTAAGTCATTGGATCAGATTTTTACATAAACCTGTGGTTGGTCGACACATATTTTGAGTTCTAATAGCCTGCTGGAATGATGGCAATATTTTATTTTCACTAATGTCTGCCTTCCTGACCTTTGAGGAACCTCTGAGCAGACAGGGGCAGTAGTGGGTAAACAAAGGAGGTACTGGCTATGAGAGAAAGTTTATCTTTCCTGCTGTGGTGCCGTACCTGGACCACTGCATACTTCTGAACAGTAACCTTTTGACCTTTGTGAAATTGAAAGAAGGGCTAAATAATCCATTCATCGTGTATGAATTTGGACAAATAAGCAAGAATATTTTGTTTTACATCTGAAAGGAGATATGAGCTCAAATAGCAGTATTGATGTGCAGTGATAATAATGTGTGGCTGGCAGGGTCACCACGGGTCTAATCTGGTTCACATGTGATAAAATTCTTGCTCCACAGTGCATACTTCTTTTCACCAGCAAGATAGATGTATTCTTTTTATGTGCATGTTCAGTGTGTGTTGATGTATTTCTGAATGTGGTTTATATGTGCAAACCTCAGGAAGTTGGATAATGTAATGCTCCCTGAGTCACAGGCATCCCCATATTTTTTCACAATTTTTTTTTTATAAATTAGTACTATTCTGCCATTTTTCAGTAGTTTGGATATTTAAATGAATTTTGTACTTATTTTCAGCTATATGTATCCTGGAGGTTGAAGTAGGAAGACTGTTGACTGTTGCAATAGCATAAGTCATTTTTTTTATTTCCTGGATTGGCAAAAGATCTTAAAAGATCCACAATGAGAAAAAAGCAAGGCTCTTGGTAGAATATGTCTGGAAGATTGGGCAACCTAAGTTTTGTGAGGCCAGGCTGATTGTGACATCTTCCCAGCATTTCTCTTTCCACTTCTATATTAGTGATTGAAAATATCTAGGCTTGCTGCTTGCAAGGGTAAAATTCCTGAAACCTCACATCAGGGTGATCACATCCAATCTATCACTGATAAATAAAACCTCTTAGGATCTAGCTCTCAGTCAAATGACACTGCTACACATTTTCTCTGGGGTTCGCAAATGTTCAGTGATCCTATCAATTTCATTAAGTTCAGTGATCCAGTATACAAGAGCATAGGGGCTTCATTTTCAGAGCTATTTCATAGTAGACAAAGTATTGTAACCGGAATTCTGAAATAAAATGTTTTGTTGAACCCACTAAAGTAGTCATT